CCAGACAAGGTGTGTCCTGCTAAAGGGGTGTGCTGCTGAACTTGGGGAGCCACTACAATGAGTCTTCAACCTCAGCCAACGACTGGGGATAGCGCCCACCCTCTGGAAGACATCTTGCATTGTCCCGGTCCCCAAAAAGAACCGGCCCAATGAGCTGACTTCTGACCGGTGGCACTGACATCACATCTTATGAAGTCTCTAGACTCAACCTCCTTCGACCACAGGTGCAACATGCCCAGGATCCACTACAGTTCGCCTACAAGGTGGATGTCGGAGAAGGGCGATGCCATCCTGTACCTCCTACACAGAGCCCACTCACACCTGGACAAGGGAAAAGGCACGGTCAGGGTCCCGTTTCTTGACTTTTCCAGTGCCTTTTAATACAATCCGGCCCTGTCCAGGTCCAGACCATGTCCACTGCCGGTTTAGATAGAGGGAGAGGAGGTGGTCAACACGTACAAGTACCTCGGGCTGCGGGTGGACAACTGGACTGCTCATGCAACACGCAGCACCTGTGCAAAAAAGGCCAAAGCAGACTGTATTTCCTCAGGTGGCTGAGGTCTTTTAACATCTGCAGGAAGCTCCTGAGGATTTTTTACCAGTTGATGGTTGCTGGAGTACTGTTACATGTGGCGGTGTTCTGGGGGAGCAGCACAGCGAAGGAGGACTCATCCAGGCTGCAAAAACGAATCAGGAAGACTGGCTCTGTGGTCAGCATGAAGCTGGACACTCTGGTGATAGTGGCAGAGAAAAAATGGAAATTATGGACAATGCTGGGCACCCTCTGCACACGATCATAAATAACCAGAGGAGCCTGTTCAGTGACAGGTTGCTTCTCCCAAAGTCAAGGACAAACAGATTTAAAAACTCCTTTGTCCCACACACCATCAAACTATTTAACTTCTTGCTGGAGGGGAGAGAGAGGGGGAACAGGAGGACAAAGGAGGACAGAAACAACTCATTTGTAGTGCCCTTTTCACTGCGCAATATTTTTTCTATATTCAACGGTGTAATAGACTCAAAATAGTTGAAATGTGCATTTCCCTGGTATTCCTATTCCTATTTATCGCTATTATATACTTTGTATTTATATATATATATATATATATATATGGTATATTTCTATTCTTACATCCTTTTGCAGCTTCTGTTGGAGCTGTGCTACTGGAAACAGAATTTCCCAGAGGAACCCAGCTGAGGGATTAATAAAGTTTTATTGGATATATCTAACACCTCGAAGTAAACGTAGTTCCTTGTTTGCAGATTGCAGATAAGGAGCATGAGTATTTCCATTTAGTGATTAACTAACATACACATATGAATCCAAGAATGTGGCAGTTACTGTCCATGAGTGCTGTTTTGTGTAATGAACATTTTACACACACACACACACATTAGAGAATTAGGCCCTAAACAGTCAAAGAAAGTCAGATTAAAAAGCTGTTTTCTTTCCTGGCATTTAGAATATTTTTCTTTTAGTCTCAAAAATACTTAAGTAAATAATTAAATAAAATAAATACCCCAATAAATAAATAACTACACCTGCACATATTCCACTGACCATAATTATGCCTATCCTCTTGATAGTCACAAATCTGTCACTTATTGAGTCAAGCATGAGCAAATACGGTGAAGTTACTTTTGTCATATGAGGTCATTCTGAAGAGCTTACTCTGTGCTGCAATAACCAGATGAATACATGGAAAAAAATAATAACATTTTATTGTTCAGTGTGCAAGTGCATTTTCATTCTGTTACATTTGAAACACCTGAGTAAATGTCAGAACAAAAAAAAAAAAATTACATTCCAACTTTTTCTAAAGACACACTTAACATAAATATTTATTTATTATTTCTGTTACTCCAATAGAAATAATAATTTCTGTAAGTTTTCCATTAGGTATTTAGCCCATTTATGCAAATAAATGCTATACTTTTTTTCTACACACTACAATCACAGTCTAAAAAGTTGCAGTCTACAAGGCAGATGGATGAAGGCTGTGGCTCCCATCGCAACCCGTATCATAACACAAAATGTGAATCCTCACGTGGAATTGAAATGCATTTGTTTACTCACCACTTCCTCAGTGGGAGACCGCAGCCTGGTGGCTTAATGATATTCAAAGCTGTAAAGTATCTCCAACATGGCTCCCTCTTCCAGCACAAATATGACAAAATGATACTCGAAAAGTGGAAAACTTGAGATTACCCAGCCAGTCTGCTCAGAAATCATCTAACAGTGAACTCTGACAGAACATCCTCCCCCCCCCACACACACAGACACACTCTCTCTTCCCACATGCTCACTCACTCACACTCACACGTGTGGGGTGTTGAACTGCTGACCCTCTCTCTGGAATCATCTCTCCAAGTCTCCTTCATAAATCTTGCATGCCTAACATAAGCGAAGAACACTGCACTGACATGAGTGACATGTTAATTATTGTTTCTTATTGTTATATGTTAATTATTGTTTAACCCAAATAATTTTTCTTTTTCGCAAACACTTTTGAACAAGTTAAGAGACATTACAAAGTTAACAAACATGGACCCCAAGATTAATTTACTGTAAGAAGCAATCTTAACAGCAAAAATTATAATACTGGCAAAATGTATTTTTTCTTAAATCACATTATGACATATCATTAATGTCATCTGAAGGAAAAAAAATATTGACCTCCGGGGTCAATGTAGCACAGCTCTATCAACCTTTTACGGCAGATTACTATATTGCTATTAATGTTACAAACATAAATAATTTTCATATTTTGTAACATATGCTTGAGCCTTTGCTCAAACTGTAATCCAAATGATTCTTTAAAAGATAACAGTGTTTGTAATTAATACTAATTATTATTACTGGTATAAGTCATACAATGAAAGCAATCAGAATTATTTTTGACCAAATATAAATAACTGGCATAGAAACAGAACCAGCCACCCTAGGCATGTAATCTCTCTAGCGTGTCCTGGGTCAACCCTGAGGCCTCCTCACATCTGAAAACATCTTTATTAAATGCACTCAAATTTACACTGTACGTATAGCATTGTAAATAAATCCAAAATAACTTTTGAACACTCATTCGTCCATTGGTCTCTCATCAGCATGTGCAGCATAATAATCAGATTTTGCTGAGCCAGAGTGTAAAAAAAAATATCTATCTTATTATTTTCTTAAGTAGGCCTACTTTCATTTAGAATACATGGTTCCTGGCCATAGACACACACACACACGCAACCATATTTTTATGACAATATGGTTTTAAACATAGGCAAGGTTATTTACCATAGACACAATTATCTACTGTTAAATTCAAAATGGCTTGAAGAAGTTTAAGGCCTGTGTTATTTCCAGGTTTTCCCGAGACTAGGAACAGAAATGTTTTTTTTGGCATTCACTGATTGTAAACTCTAAATCCTTCATGGTCAAACTGTCGACACTGTTATACACTGAGGCGCCTAAAGAAGAACATCTGAAGTAAACAGTCAGAACTGCAGTGTCGTGCCAACAAATCAAAGATGTCACTCCGCAATTTACCTACTTGACAGCTTTGGCTTCTTATCATTTTGCCCTTTATTTCTCAAAATCAACAAAAATCTAGCTGTCAAAGGAGACAGCGGCCATATTTAAGCATGGGTTAAATAACCACTCATTAACAATTAGACCGAAGAGGAGTCTTGAGACTTTCTCGTTGATGTTCTTGAAGCTGTTTGTTCAAGTGTCTGGTAATGTTTCTGGAAAAAAAAAAAAGGTTATAAAAGGGAAGCAAAACATCTTTTTATCCATTCAGTTTTGTGTATGTGTTTTTGCATACCTGCAGGTTATTGTAGTGTCTCTGGCTTCTACAGTGTAGGTCTTTGGCTGTGCTCTCAGCTACGTAGAAAACTGAGCACAGGCTACATAAATACCCCGTTTTAGGGACAACATGCTCTTGACCTGATAAGGAACAGAAAAAGGAACAGAACGTTACAAAAAAATAACTGAGTAAATCTCTGGAACTAAACAGATTTTATTTATTATTTGTGTTTGTTTCTCACCAAGGGGGATACTGGGGTTAAAAGGCGGCAGGTCCAAGTTATCAGTGACACAAGGAGACTGAGAGGGAGATCGCTTTGCTTCAGGTTCGACAAGATCACTTCTTTGTTTCCCAAAAGCTGAAGAAGAAGAAGAAAAAACTGTCAACAAATCCTTTAAACCTGTCAAGAAATTATTTTGCAGCTATTGCAGAAACTAATTCAAAGGTATTAATTAAAAAATTTGCTTTGTACTGTAACACTGAAGTATTAACTTTTTTTTCCAAACAAAAATGACAAATTTCAGTTGTTCCAAATCTGATTATGACAGAAAAAAATACTGGCAACCAGGAAAGCTGCAACTTTATAATTTTATCCACTTCAAAATTGATTTTTAGAACGATGCATTTAAAATCAGCTCGGTGTGAATTGTGAGCGAAAACAGTTCCTTGAACCTTTACGGGCGGTCCTTCTCTGTCCTTGCTTCTCCTCTCCTAGTCTCTGGCTATCAGCATAGTCAGAGCTGGACTGCTCCCCAGCAGATGTGGTTTCCATACTGGATTGTCTATCTGCTTCCTCCAATTTCCAAATCTCTGTTTGGCCTTCACTTGACAATCCAGACACCACTTGGTCCGGGGATGATAAGAGTGATAAGGAATCAAGTGAAGAGGGAGGCAGTGATTCTGTTCTCTCATCTTTTGTGCTTTCTTGCTTCAATCTAGTAGATTTTCTCACTACAGGAGAAAACAATAAATTCACTTAGTTTCATGTTGGTCTCACATGACTATGTAACAGATATAGTTTTTTGTGTGTTACCATGTGTCTGTCTTGTTCTCTTCTTGGCTTGACCGCTTGTCCTGGTTGTTACCACTTTTTCTTTTTCAGCAATCTCCCACGGTTTATCAACCGTTACAAAGCTCCCATTCTCCTCTAATGCATGAAATCAAATAAAGACTCAAATTAAAACTGAAACCTTTTATTTTCATAACAGAAAACACTGTCCTATAGGTGTGCCACAGAGTACTACTCTGGGACTACTATTTTATTTCTGTAAACAAATTATTGTTAATTTTCAGTGAACATAATGTCTAACTTTATGCTGAAACTGTTATGTATAGTGAAAGAAAGTTTCTGACTTACATTAACTCTAAAAACAGAAATGTTTCGTAGCTCCCAAAACGTTCTCTGAATTTCAATTGCAAGTTACTTTTATTATAATCTCATTTTTCTTCATTTACTTCCATTACTTTCACATTGCAGATGGCAATAAGAAAAATAATAAGAATAAGCAATACTTTATTTATACCATATCTGGGAAATTCTTTAAACTGACTTAAAATGCAAAAGTAAAGTAAGATCTTCAAGAAGATCTAGTCTTCCTTTTGGGCTAATTGCCTATGACTTTCTATTAATAAATATGTCAACAATAACCCAGTGTTTAGATAATTAACAGTTATTCAAAGTATTTATCTGGAAGTTTTTGAAATTTTCCTGCAAAAGCAGTCTGGATTTAAATACAGAATATAGCAGACCTGTGCCATCATCATGTTTGCAGTAAGCAGATCTTGAACTTTTCTCACCTTCATATTCAGTTGCTTTCTCCTCCCCGTCATCACCTGCTTCATCTATAGTCACAAAAGCCTACAACAAGACATGCAAAATATTTTGCATTAAAGTTTATATTATCACTACAAATAAAAAAGAGCACGTTTAAAGAGCAACTTTACCTTTGGGTTTGGGGACTCCAGTGATTGATTATCTTGGCAGTCTGACACAGACGGCAGAGTGCCTTTTTCATCATCTATAGTTGACTCTTCTGTACTCTGGTCTCTGGTAAGCTGATCATCGGCTATCTCATCCTCAACAGAGTCAAGAATTTGATATGTGTCCTCTTCAACAGCTACTTTATCAGACGGATCATCTTTCAGTGGATTTCTTTTTATAGTTACTTTCTTTAGTCTTCCCCTTTTTGCTTTTTCTGTGAGCATAACAGAATCATCCGAGTCCAATATTTTATAAATATCGTCCTCTTCATGTAGGTCTCTTATGAAGTGACTTCTCCTTGTTGGCGTGCTCTTTTTTACAGGTCCTTTCTCTTTTGTCTTTGGAGTTTCCTCCTTGTTTGGCGCCAGTGAATCTCTGGCAGGTGTAGATCTGCTTCTTGTTCGTATGTTGTCTTTTTTCAAGACTTCTTTGGTTGTTCTTGTCATGATGGTTAGTGGGCTGCTAGAAGCCTTGTTCTCAGTGGAGTATAAAATCTCATACTTAGCATCCTCTTTTCCATCACGTTTGTTAAAAGGCTCTGTTAATGTCTTTTTATCATTGTTTCTTCTGACAGACCTTCTTCTACCAGAACTTTCTATAGAAGAGTCATCCTGAATCGATTTATCTTCAACAGAATCTACTATCTCATAGACCATCTCCTCAGCTGCTTTATTGACCTTCTTGACGGTGCTGTCATTTCTCTCAGTCTGGGTCTGTTTCTTTGATGATTTGCCCTTCTCTTCACCCTTAGATGTTCTGTTTTCTGGTCGACTCCTTCTTGGGGATCTATAAACTCTTTTAGCTTCATCATTTTTCTTTGTTCGTTTTACATTCTTGTCAGCTTCTAACTCTGTGTCTGTGGTCACTGGCTCATCTTCCACAGAATCAATTACCTGGAATGAATCATCCTGTTCTTCTATGGCTTCTGTTTTTGGTTTAGATACTTGGTCTCTGAGAGTTTCCAGTTTTTGGTTGTCTTCTTGTATTTCAATCTGAGCCTCAATTGAATCCAAAAGCTCAAAGCCTTCTTGTTTAGTGTCACCCACTGAGGAGCCTCTGTTGTCCTGCTTTTCTAAAGTTATTTCGTCAGGATCTTTGGAAACTTTAAAAGATTCTTCTAAAATCAATTCCTCTTTTTCCCCGCTTCCATCTCCACTGGTCCTTGGAGTTTGGTTCCCGCTTGAATCCAACACTTCATTTTTATCAGCTGAATCTTTATCAGAATTGTCATCTCCTGTCATTTCCTCAGACAGCTTATTTACTGTGGAACCTTCATCTTTGACCATATGACTGTCCCCTTCAACTGTAGTTTTTTGGTCTTCTGTAACAATTTTTAACATATGGAGAGAAGCATCTGTTTCCATTTTACTGGAGCCCTCTGTGCAGACCTCATGTACTTGCACAAGTCCAGCTGAGTCAGTTTCCGTGTCGTTATCTTTGTTCCTGTCTTCAATTATCTGCTTATCACTTTTCTCATTGAGTGAATCAAGGATTTGGTCATTTTCATCATCCCCCTCATCCTCTTGATGTTTGACATTATCCTTTTTCCTGTCTTCTCTTTTGTTTTTCTTCAACTCTTTTGTGTCATCCTTAAAATCGGTTAGATCAGTCTCTACTGTTGCTTCAACAGCTACTGTTGATGCCATCTTTGATGTACAGGTTTTATCATTTAAGGATGAGGAATTTAGCGTTTCTTCTGGAGATTTGAACTTAGGATACGTTTTCCGATCAGGGGAGGCAGGAAGTGGAATCGACAGTGAAGAACGGGTCTTTCTGACCCTAGAAGAAAAGTTGCTTTTCTCAGTGGTTTCAGTCGGCTCAGATAAAGAGGAAAATGAAGAGGCAGAGCTCTTAGAGTCTTTTGAGGACCTTGTTAAGGTCTGTTTTAAGGTAGATGACGCATCTGAGCTTCGCCCTTCTCTTTTCTCTCTGGAGATCTTTTTAGATAAAGAAGAACGTTTGCGGTTGACATCTTCTTCTGCTATGTCTTCACCAATTTCATCAATAACAACAAAGTCCTCCATGCTGAAATTTTCATCATGTTGCTCTGAAGACACAATTTCATCTACAAAATCATCCTGTCAATGAAAAGAGAGCAAAGAACAAACTCTGAAGCACTAAAATGGTTGGCTTAATAATCACTGCTGAAATACTTTGTGTAACTTCAACATCCTACATCTTATATTGAAATGCAGTTTTAAAAATAAGAAACTTTGCAAATGTTTGCACTAACTTTATCCTCGCTCTGTGTACTGCTTCCTTGAATAGTTCTTGTGAAATTGTGAAATTCAACAAAGTGAGTGTCCAGGTCAGAGTTGGGTGTGTTCTCACTGAAGTCTTGTAGACACTCTTTGAGGCTCTTCAAACTGAAATTAAAATTAAATTTAAAAAAAAAGAAAAAAAATTATAGTAAAAGATGCTTAGTTCTCAAAGAATGATTGACTATAAGATGAATTAGTGAAGCAAGAAATGCAACATCCAAGTTCTCAGCTAGTATTCCTGAACTAATAAGAGGTGCGACTTTTTTTTCTCTTTTCATTACTGATTAAATCAATCAGTTAACCTCTCCAAAAGTTGATTCTGTTGATCTGGACATAGCATTTTCAGTGGGAGAAACGTTTCGTCACCCGATCTTATAACACTTTTATACCACTCAGATGAACAGAATCAACTTTTGGAGATTGACATACCTGGATGATTGAGCATGCATCAAGAAATCATTTAACCTACTTCCAACTGTGCCAAATTATATGAAAAACAAATTTTACTAGACTTTTCTGGTGTAATGTTGTATTGTAATGCAGTGTAGTTTTTAAAAACATTTGTCCAACCAACAAAAAACTAATGGTATTTAGTTATCCACCCACAGTGGCTCAAATGTTCACTGAATACTTGATGATTCAGCCTCACGTGCCTCTAACTAAATTTGACTTGTTTTTTTGAGATGAAGCAGTAATCATACTGAATACAATTTATTACTACTGCTGAGATGTTTCGGCTCCCTAAACAAAAAACATAAAGAATAATTACAGGAAACAATACTCACGATTCAATGCGTCCAACTTTGCTCCTGTATAGGAGAAAAAAAGGAATGGGTCAACTCAAGAATAAGTAAAGACAAGCCCAATCTTATAGACTCTTAAATACCGTATTTGTATTTATCTTGCCATATGAAACATACCACATCTTGTTCATAGCTATGTAGTCTCTTGAGAAGATATTCTCCAACACTTTTGTTACACCACTGGATTCAGCCATTTCAATGTATATCTGAGGTAGAAACAAAAAAAAATAAAATAAACAAAAAGAAGAGAAAGAACCAAAGGAGAAAAAATTAAAACAAGAATAAAATATATGTATCTAGCCAAATAGGAAGGTATTACAAACACAGGCCTTTGCTAAAGTAGGTAGGAACATAACATTTGGCAGACAGTCCCGTATTTTTTAATTCTTTAAGAATTAAAATGGATGAATAAAATTTAAGAGCAGCAAAATTATTTTGCTCATCATGTTTTTTGTTGACACATTGTTCTTCCTCTTGCAGCATTAAAAATCAGAACTTTCAACAATCTTTCATTTTGTGCATGCTGTCACAGCATTATTACGTTGAGAAGAACTGCTGGTCTCTTATGCAGAAAAAACTGACAATTTCCTAAAGGTGCATTTGCAGAGATGTTCAGTACCACAAAACCCTTTGCACAAATTTGTCCAAAACAAATGGATTCAAATTGGTCTCAATAAGATGCTAATAATCCTTAAGCTTACATACTTTTGCCTATCAAAAATGTGTAACAATTAATTAAAATATGATGAGGTTCTAGGTCACATTTGTGCACCCTTATAATGGTTTCACCAGCTTTACTGATTTACCTTTTTGAAAATTACATTTAGGACTTTCTGAATATTTTACAGCTGGTTTGAACAAAACACAGCAGAAAAAGATCTGCAGACACTGACAATCGCTGTGCTCTACACTAAAATGTAAAATAAATTCTACTATTTGCACTATCGTACCCTGTTGGCAAGCGGCAGGAATCTGACAAAAGCAGCAAAGGATGCCACCACATCCATGACCATTGTGACAAGGGGCATCAGCATTTCAGTGGTCTCCACACACAGCAGTCGCTCCTCCAGAGAGTCTGAATCTGGAACGTGCTGAAAAACAACCAAGAGTTGTTGTGAAGGATGTGGGAAAAACAAAAAACTGCAGCTTTACATCAAAACAGATTTATTCAGGTGACGAGAGACTTACAGCATTGCTCCATTTCATCATGGTTCTGTACATTGTCTCCTGTGAAAAGATTAAAAGACAAATGTTAAAATTTTAAAGAAAAATGTTATCGCGTATTGTTTTTAAATTCATAAATATACAACCAAACTTGTGATCAGAGTAATTTCTAAAGGGTGAAGAATAAATATAAGATGTTGTTTCATAATTAAACCTTATTTAATGCTGATTCGTGCATTATGCATTTATTGACAATTACTGACACTTATCGATGGATTATTAAAGTTCAGTCTCTGACAAAAAAACAAAAACAAAAAATTTAATAAAAAATAAAACAAAAAAATATATATCTTGGTATTAAAATGTGACAAAGTATCATTTCAGTAGGATCAATTATAGTATCCAAAATTCCAAAATGTGGGTTTGCTTGGGAAAAGCAAGATGGTATCGTGTTGATCAGTTAAGCTTTCCCAGTTTCCATACCTGACTGGTCCCAGGATGCATGTCCTGTAACACAAAATGGATGTCGAGCACCCGGCCTCCAACAGAAATTGGATTTTTAATGTGATCTTGGACAAAATCACAGCACGCATTCCAGTCACTGAAAAACACAAAAGCCTGGAGGCAATTCAAGAAGGAAAGATTAAAGATCATGACAAAGTTCTATAAATATGAAATATCTGTTTGTATCAGTCTGCAGCAGCTACTCCTTACCCTCCTCTGCAGAGGCATTACTATCAAGTTGTAGAACAGTACAGTATCCAGGAAATAATGCTGCACCAGCCTGGTGATGTCCTCGCACTTGTAGTTTTCTTCTGGCAAACCAGTCAACATGATTGTGGAGAACCTAGAACCTTGAGGCTGAGCTTTCTACAAGACGCAAGATTCAAAATCAAAAGAATCTTGAGGGTTAAAGGAAAAGAAGAACTGTAAAACCTGTACAATATACTTCCTTTGATGAACTGGTTACATTTCCACCCAATGTGTGTTTGCACATCAGATATAATTTTGCTAACTTCCTATGCACAGTGGTTGCCAATGGTTAGTTTGGAATATTAAAAGTTACTCGCTCCAAGTTTGGGTCAACTTTAACAATTCAAGACAGTAATTTGCCATGTCAGATAGCTTGCAGGTTCTGTAATATGAGAGCCATAGCCAGCATTAACTAATATAAGCCCTGGTCTCCAGGGGAAAAAAAGTGTATTATCCATATGAGCGTTGAAAGGTGTTGGCTGTTGCCACCTTGTCACAAAAATAGTACTGTGTCTAAAAAGTCTGTTATTGCTTTAAACGTGAAAAAGATTTTTTGAGATTGCTTGTAGTTTATACCAATGATGGCAACTTTTCTGCAAACACTTGCCTTTGACTAACCAAGTGGTAATGACGCTTTAAAAAGTATCATGTAAACTTTAAACAGAGACCATTCCTTTCAAAGTAAAAGTCCTGCCTTGCAACTGCAACCAACATGTTTCATAGTTTCATTATGACTACTAGTAAGGGTCAAGTGTTTGTATATACTCCACATATACTACAGGCAACTGTGGCAGTTCATTACCAACAAAAGAAATCCCAAGGAAGTTTTTTTTATGTAGCACTTGTGGAATTGAACAAATTATTTTACTGCTACAATATAATCTACAGCATTAGCATTGCCTTAACAATATAACAGATAGCTTTAAGAGGGCCTTCAGATGTTTAAACATACAGGCAACATATTAACCTTTATTCCAGGTGCAGTTATAACTATTTGTGCAAAGTGAGTTAGAGCTATGGAAGGATTGCCTACAAGCTTACAAAACATACATGACTCAAGTTATTCATTATTATCTTTTATTCGTTTATATCTTTTTTATTAAGCTTTGGGTAGTGGCATTTGATTAAAGCATTTATTCAATATATTCCGTATATAGTTTCAGTTAGATTGTTATACATATGAGAGTGGCTTCTGTCTGGTAAAAGGTTATGAGCTTTAGTTGGTGAGGTGAGAGGTGAGACAGTGCAATTGAGGTCGAGACACACACACACACACACACACACACACACACACACAGTAGGTAGAATCATATTTAGGTAAGAGTTCAGATATATTTTGCTTGGAACTGCATTTTGTGCCTGCATAAGTGACACTTTGTTGCAGGACGTGCGTCTGATGTTTCAGAGATAAGCGAGAGCAAGACGAGCTACAGAAAACACCTGGCGTGGAGACGGAGACAATGTTCTTTTCAAACTGTGTCAAAAGTCGTTAACAGAACGTTTGTGGTTTTAACTTATGCATGTGTTGTATCTGCTTAACGCAAGAGGGGGCGTAATAATACCCTGATGCTATAAAACAACTGCTTGTGTATTGTTAGGAGGAGATCGACACTGATTGTGTAACAGTGTTCATCTCCCCATCGTTTGACCTAACCCTCCTGGACCAGTGTTGTTTTGTATCCCTCCTCAATATCTGAAACCGTAACACACTGTATACTTTCCTGTGACTGATTCTACTTAGCAACTGTCTGCAACCTCCAGCAACATTGACCAACCAGTGAGGCAATACACATTTTTCCTAGGGACCAATGGATACCAAGGGTTCCCTATCAGTCTTAAAGCCTGTGTGACTGAGGCCTTAGACAGGACAAGCTTCATTAGCATCAGGAAGTCAGGAAAGATCAAATTTTTTATGTTGTGTTAATCCATTCAACAAAAAAAAAAAATCAAAAAGAAAAACAAAAGAGTTTGAGACTTGTTAAAATGTGCACATTTAATATAAAAATAAATCAAAATTGATGACATGAAAAGACAAGCTTACCTCAATGTCATTTAGTCCATTGACAGTCAAAAAATCTAGTAATGAAAAATGAATATAGTCACAGTCACTCACACGCTGGATATTTAGGGGTTAAATTCTGTTTTTCAACCGTTTCTCTCACCTGGGATGATGAACCAAGGGGAGACGGTAGGGAACACAAAGGGATAAGTGGTCATCGTGACCCAAAATGGTGAAGTGCTTCCCTGTGGAACACCAAAATTTGCTGTTGGGACAACTGCCCCTTCAGTAACATCCTTGGTGTCTGGCAATGCTTTGGATGCCAGTCTGGGTGCTGCACAAGCAAAAATAAAGTGACTGTTTGCTTTAAAATTATCTGAAGAATTGCAAAAACATTGGTGCACAATAGCTGTGTTTTAGTTTCCTTTGTGACAATTATGCTGCGATTATTACCATCACTTTATGGCTTTAGTTTGTTGTTGCTGCTGCTAATCAAATGGTTTCTTTTCCCATAATACTCATTATGTGTAACTTCAAATTCAACTGGCAAGATACCAAAGACCAAACTCCCTCTGTTGCATCTAGGGGTGCATGTTTACCAGTCAATTTAGGCCATTGTTACTTATGCTTATTGTACTGTGCTACCTAAATTTGTTACAACTTTTGCAAAGTGCAACTTATGTGTATTTTTCTTATTGTCATGAAAAACAAAGACTTACGTTGTGATGTGCTTTCAATTCGTGGTATCTTCAACCTGTACACCGTGTGGCAAAAGCCCCGTCTGAGGAGGCTGTACCAAACTCCGAGTCGATCAGCATCATAAATTGAATTAAATTCGACAAACACCTGGATAACACATAAAAATATTGGAGATAAGATGCAAGAATTCGCCTAAACATGAATGTCTAGGTAAGTGTGTGTGTGTGTGTATACCTTGTTGAGAAAAGGCAGATAGTTTTTCACAGAATCAATCTTTTCCAAAGCTTTTCTGAGATCCTTGGCTTCCCTTTGTGAGATGTTCTTGATGTAGATTATTGCTGATCCGTCATCAGTCATCTCCTGCTTCGAGAAAAGGTACATTTTCAAACTAACCTGAGACACACATACATCAGTACTACTTCTCTCCAACTTAACACGACTGCTGATGGTTTCCAAAGGTTTTAGCACAAATAAAATATTTTTACGTTCCCATGATATCGTGATAGAAAGATCAAAAGTATTTCACACATTTCAAAAACTTTTAATGACAAATAAATCAAATGCATGCAAATGCATGTAAACATGTATTTATTTATTTGAAAATTAAACAAATTGTATGAAAAACAAAATTTCTGCCACTTCTAAAACTTTTATCCATGGTTTTATAGATTTAATGTGATAAATTGTAAACCACCAGCAGTAATTTTAATTCACATTTTTAAAAAAAAGAGAGTAATTTAATACTATATTACTTACATAAGGCAATTTTTTCATGATAGATTTATAAAATCCAATCTGAAAAAAACAAAAGTAGAAGGTGGCAATGGTAAATATCCAGCTAATGTAAAAAACGAACAAACTTCAGATTCAGTGCATTGAAAATACAATTTTTTTTATTTATTTTGTTTTATTTCACAATTTTAAATTGTGAAATAAAACATATTACTCACATTACTTTCTATACTACTTTCTGACTGTAATATATTAATCGAAATCTATATGGCCTAAACAATGTTTTTTTTTTACTCCAAGAGATGGCTGAGCTATTATCCTACGTTATCAAAGCATGACAAAAATCTTATTCTTAGGTTGATTAGGTGTCTTCTCCTGTTTTTGCATTTATATCTTTTTTAAACCAGATTTCCAGACTCTCAACTTTGCTCAGGCACTACATGAACCCAGACTGAAAAGGTCGACCTAGTTCTACTGCTAGACGCCATACATTTGTTAATGAAATTTGATTCTGCTCAATGCTTTGAAAAACAGATATAAATTACTTTCAGTCTAACTTCCTTTAAATAAGAACCATAGAACCAAACCATGGGATGAAGGTCACGGATAATTTATATAAATGCTTTGTTTTAAAATTACATTTTTTAAATGTCGCAATAATAATCAGCAGTATTTTACACTTCTGCTTACTGGATTCATTGGAAGGGCGTAGTTCAAGGGCTTCAAAAGAAGTGCAGACTTTTTGAGAACAAAGCTGATCTTCTTTCTAGCTCTGATGATGTTTTGCATGTCTTGCACAGTCGGCATGAGCACAAAGGCCTAAAAGGAAAATTTAGAAAACACATTAATTAATATTCTAATCAGCTACAAGCTCTGATAAAGGAACAAGGAGAGATACAGCCAAAAGAAGTGAAAGTAAAAAAGAAAGTTTCCCAAGTCCTATGAAAAACTAAGTAAACCCTTGGTGCTTTTATAGGAATTAAGAGTACAAGTAGCACTTAGGTGCTGCTAAACAAAAGTGTTCGATTAAATCATATCACCAAGTGGAAGCATTTCTATAAAGTAAAAGTTTATAAAGATTTTACAGGTAGAAGTAAAGAAAAGACGGTATTGCAATGACAGCGCCAATGCCCAGACCTTAATCGGATCGAAATGCTGTGGAGGGACTCTAAGAGAGCTGTGCATAAATGAAATTTCTATGAACAGTATTAAGGTTGTAAATAAGAGTGGGCCAAATTTCTTCCAAAACAATGTGAGAGACTTATAGTCATAGAGAAAGTAACTACTTTATTTCTGCTAAATCATAGGATTTACTTCATATATGAAAGGATTCCATAGAGTCCTGTGAAAACTTGTCAAATGTCTGTATATGCAGAGCATTAATAAACCTGGTGCCTACCATGCGCATCTTAGGACTAATGTAGATGTTTTCGTCCAAATATTGAAATCCGAATGGGATGAGTAGATTGGCAACGTCCTCTTCTGTGTAGCAGTCAGCATATTCATCATATTTTGGCAGGTAGGTGATTAACAACACTTTATTTGTAAACTGGAAAAAAAGTGATGGTTTGGGTGATTTTAGATTTTTAGATTAAAAAAAGTTGACATATTAATTTTTTTTACATTAGTACAAAAATACATATAAATCCAGGTCTGTTTAAAAAAATCATCACTCCTATTTGTAAAAGCTTTACATTACTTGTACACTCTTCATTGTTTACTGTGTTATGTTCTTATGTTGTTTTCCATCTTCGTATTGAGTAAGTAATGAAGGGATATTGTGACGTAATTGTATAGACCATAAAGTTGGGGTAGGTGTAATGAGAGTAATGTGTTTGCAGTAATGAGTAGAGGATGGAAACGCTTTTAGGTTTCACGACAGAGGTAACCAGTGCTACAAAAACTATCTGCAAAGATATAATAGTGTCTCAAAGGTCAAAGGAATGTTACTCCCTGGGACCAACTTGGAATTTACCTGCGTAATGTAAGCTACATAGGTACATACATAAGGTAGACTGTACTGGACAAGACTGTCTATGTCAGTCTGTGAATCTAAATCTATCCCTCTAGAAGACAATAAACCTTTCATAATGCAATTGTTAAGAGGACTATAAAATATTTAAGCATAATACTAATTAAATGACACCTGTTTTCATTTAATTGGAACACAGGTGGATGAATTGACTAAAAAAAAAAAAAAAAGCTCACTATTAACGTTATCTACAGTGCAACTGGCAGTAATTACAGTGCTTAAGGTTTGATGGTGCTGAAACATCCAGTGGCGTCAGCCTTATTGATGTATGACAATGTAGGGGTAATACATTAGACTGGAGACTTCAGCTTTTGATATTAGCAGATTGCCAGATTTTGGATAGAAAACGCCGAATTGGGTGATTGTTTGCTTTCCATTTTCTTAGGTTTTATTACTACTCGGTTAGTAGTTAGCAAATGTTTGCAAACAAGCTGCTATCTGTCATCCAAACTGCACCAATCTGCTACCTATAGGGAAATTGTAAAGAGGTTTTGAGTCAGCACACTCATTGCAGTTGATTTCACCAGGGACCACTCACAAAGTAGTAGTGGAATAAATTTCCCTTGTGAGCATGTTTTATTTATTTAT